TGGTGGTGGGGACGAGGAGATGGTGGTGGGGACATGGAGATGGGATGTGGAGATGGTGGTGGATCTGAGGAGCTGGTGGTGGGGCTGAGGAGATGGTGGTGGGACGTGGAGATGGGGATGAGGAGATGGAGGTGGGGACGTGGGGATGGGACGTGGGGATGGAGGTGGGGACGTGGGGATGGAGGTGGGACGTGGAGATGGGGATGAGGAGATGGTGGTGGGTACGTGGAGATGGTGGTGGGTACGTGGGGATGGAGGTGGAGATGGTGGTGGATCTGAGGATCTGGTGGTGGGTCTGAGGAGGTGGTGGTGGGTCTGAGGAGGTGGTGGGTTGTCCCCGTGGTGACCATGTCCCACCCCACCCCCCCAGGGGACAAGCACTGGGTGTTCGAGGAGGCGGTGCTGGAGCCAGGGTACCCTCGGGCCCTGCGGGACCTGGGCCGGGGTGTCCCCACCGACCGCCTGGACGCCGCCCTCCTCTGGCTGCCCAGCGGCAAGACCTACTTCTTCCGGGGCAACAAGTGGGTGGCCACCTCTGGGGACCTTCTGGGGACCTTCTGGGATCTTCTGGGATCTTCTGGGGACCTTCTGGGACCTTCTGGGATCTTTGGGGATGTTCTGGGATCTTCTGGAACCTCTTGGAACCTCTCAGGAACCTTCTGGGGATCTTCTGGGGACCTTCTGGGACCTTCTGGGATCTTTGGGGATGTTCTGGGATCTTCTGGAACCTCTTGGAACCTCTCAGGAACCTTCTGGGGATCTTCTGGGGACCTTCTGGGACCTTCTGGGATCTTTGGGGATGTTCTGGGATCTTCTGGAACCTCTTGGAACCTCTCAGGAACCTTCTGGGGATCTTCTGGGGACCTTCTGGGACCTTCTGGGATCTTTGGGGATGTTCTGGGATCTTCTGGAACCTCTTGGAACCTCTCAGGAACCTTCTGGGGATCTTCTGGGGACCTTCTGGGACCTTTGGGAACCTTCTGGGCACCTTCTGGGGACCTTCTGGGACCTTTGGGAACCTTCTGGGATCTTCTGGGATCTTCTGGGACCTCTTGGAACCTCTCAGGAACCTTCTGGGGATCTTCTGGGATCTTCTGGGCACCTTCTGGGACCTTCTGGGACCTCTTGGGAACCTTCTGGGCACCTTCTGGGACCTTCTGGGGATCTTCTTGGGACCTTTGGGGACCTTCTGGGACCTTTGGGGATCTTCTGGGACCTCTTGGAACCTCTCAGGAACCTTCTGGGGATCTTCTGGGACCTTCTGGGGACCTTCTGGGACCTTTGGGGATCTTCTGGGATCTTCTGGAACCTCTTGGGAACCTTCTGGGGATCTTCTGGGACCTTCTGGGACCTTCTGGGGATCTCTGGGACCTTCTGGGGATCTTCTGGGGATCTTCTGGGATCTTCTGGGACCTTCTGAGGACCTTCTGGGGATCTTCTTGGACCTTCTGGGGATCTTCTGGGACCTTCTGGGCACCTTCTGGGGATCTTCTAGGACCTTCTTGTCACCTCTGTGTCACCTCTCTCACCTCCTTGATGTCCCCATGGCCACCTTCATGGCCACCACGAGCCCCCCATGGCCCACGATGGTGTCCCCACGCCCTGGTGACACCCCCATGGCCACCTCCACGCCCCCCATGATGTCTCCATGGCCCTTCCCATGGCCGTGTTGATGTCCCCATGGCCACGTTGAGGTCCCTATGGCCACCACGAGGTCCCCATGGCCCATGATGGTCTCCCCACGCCCCCCATGATGTCCCCATGGCCCACGTTGATGTCCCCATGACCCATGATGGTGTCGTCATGACCCATGGTGGTGTCCTCACGCCCCCCATGATGTCTCCATGACCCTTCCCATGGCCACGTTGATGTCCCCATGGCCACCACGAGGTCCCCATGGCCCATGGTGGTGTCCCCACGCCCCCCATGATGTCCCCATGACCCATGATGGTCTCCTCACGCCCCCCATGATGCCTCCATGGCCCTTCCCATGGCCATATTGATGTCCCCATGGCCACGTTGATGTCCCCACGCCCCCCATGATGTCCCCATGACCCTTGATGGTCTCCCCACGCCCCCCATGATGCCTCCACGGCCCTTTCCATGTCCATGTTGATGTCCCCATGGCCACGTTGATGTCCCCATGACCCATGTTGATGTCCCCACGCCCCCCATGATGTCCCCATGACCCTTGATGGTCTCCTCACGCCCCCCATGATGTCTCCATGGCCCTTCCCATGGCCACGTTGATGTCCCCATGGCCACGTTGAGGTCCCCATGACCCATGATGATGTCCCCATGGCCCATGTTGATGTCCCCATGACCCTTGATGGTCTCCTCACGCCCCCCATGATGCCTCCATGGCCCTTCCCATGGCCACGTTGATGTCCCCATGACCCATGATGATGTCCCCATGGCCCATGGTGGTGTCCTCACGCCCCCCATGATGTCTCCATGGCCCTTCCCATGGCCATATTGATGTCCCCATGGCCACGTTGGTGTCCCCACATCCACGTTGATGTCCCCATGACCCATGATGGTCTCCTCACGCCCCCCATGATGCCTCCATGGCCCTTCCCATGGCCATATTGATGTCCCCATGGCCACGTTGATGTCCCCATGGCCCACGTTGATGTCCCCACGCCCCCCATGATGTCCCCATGACCCTTGATGGTCTCCCCAAGCCCCCCATGATGCCTCCACGGCCCTTTCCATGTCCATGTTGACGTCCCCATGGCCACGTTGAGGTCCCTATGGCCACCACGAGGTCCCCATGGCCCATGTTGACGTCCCCCCGCCCCCCACGATGTC